AATTACTATTGTATGAAATACACACAACTGATTTGTCTAATTCCAAAATCTATGTTAGACTGGGGAATGAAACTGTAGAAATAGACCAACTGTAATTCCCATCCTTTACTTGAAAAATGTGCTGCATTTCTACGATTTATTATTCAGTGATTAAGTTAACACATAAATCAGATATTTTAACTTCTCAAATGATTTGCATTATTCGAAATTCAAACAATATATAATTCAACAGTGTAAAATAAAATTTTTTAGCTAGCGATTATTTTATAAACAATTGGAAATGAAAAAAAAGACGGCGATCTCTTGATTTGTGGGGAATCAAACATTCCAAACGTCTGATAATGAAAGGTAGTTGCAGTTATGCTTGATGATAAAACACGCTTCGAAAGATGAAAACATGAAGATTGTATAATATATCATCTCAAATTTAACAAAAATCAACTGATTAACTTGAAATTCCAATTATAATGAATTAGGAATCCATCAAGACGATCGAACACTTTTTTCTCCTCTTTTCTCCATTTCAATTTAACTCGATATGCTCTATATGCTTCTATTATTATCTCCAACATATACATACTCGCTAAGTACGGAACAGCAGAAGGAAAATATGGTAATTTTTGGTGTATAATTTCATCTTTTATTTTACATTGATCCTAAATATCATCAATTAACTGAATTTCCATACACTTCTCTTTTATTTTATCGAATATAAACAGATAATGTGTGATAAAAGATCAAGTTTTAATATGTCAATTCGCAGGAAACGTTGATTGATACCGTTCTATGATGAATAGATACGCTTTAAAAACTCGTTGCATATTATAAATTGAATAACAAACACCAAAGATACCGGTGCTACCGTCGTTCTTACAGTTTTCTTCTTGCTTCAGTACCAAGCTTAAAAATACAGTTTCTGCTGTGACAACGTTTCTGTTCATGCATGTACATCTGAAACCTTTAAAAAAAAACTGAAGACTAAAAATAAATTTTTAAACTAGACATCTGGATGGGAATTTTAGTTGGTGATTATCCAAATAGGCTAAATTTGTCCTAGTAATGACCACGGTATTCTTCCGGAAAAACTTTCTGACTTCGCACAATTTCCTTTATGCACATATATATATATGTATATATATACGCATATATATGTAATTATGGTTGCTTTGTATTAATATCAGGTGGTCATATAAATTCTAATTTGAATAACTGACAATATTTAGACCATTTTAGATTTGAAAATTTGGATCCTCAAGAAATTCATAAATGTCATCATTAGCATCCAATCTCTATATCATCGACGAAATGCGTAAGGCATTCACACATTCACAGAAGAGGCATGCTTAAAATTATAGCAAACATGCCTAAATTGGAAAGAGTACTGCATTTCTTTCATTATACGATTATACTCATAGAAGTCAACAACTTCGACCTTTACCATTTATTATTAACATATACTATAATTGCAAAACAATTAGGCGACAAATATTTATATCTATTATATAACAACGACACAGAAGTATGGTTGTAAGGAATGAAATAATTTTGTACATTAAATGACTGAAGTCATATTTTCAATGGCCTTAACAATCCAAAACAAGTCAGGAAAATGTCAAGAATGTAGAATATAAAATCTGATGTAAGACGGAACTGTTTTTTGTTTGTTGACCTAAATTTATAAGGAAATTGGATTAGTCATTTCATCTTTCCGTAATATTATAATCACAATAAATTTCGTAATTAAAACAACGTGGACTTGCAATAATGAATTGTAAAAATACAGTATAAGAAATTTCCGGTAAGCCCAAAAAAAACCGTATTTTCTACTTACTGGAGAAAATCAAAGAGCAGAGCTAATTTAACTAGCAAGATTAAAATCATATAAATTCACGACCTGAGCAAGAGCTCAATTGCAGAGAGCTATATATGTGAAATCGTATCACCATACCAAGTATTCATAAAATAATAATACAAAATCAATGACTGAAAATTATGTACAATCATCTAAAAAATCAGTGACTGAAAATTATGTACAATTATCTAAAAAATCAGTGACTGAAAATTATGTACAATCATCTACCAAATCATAGCAATCCGAGTAGATATGGGGCCAGAACGGATAAGAGAACTGCTTGGTCCAAGAAATAATCGCTTGAATGATTAATCAATTTGAAAACAAGAGGAAGATGACTAAAGTTTTCCATCTTTAAAAACTTCTATAATTGCGATAATCTTTAAATGTATATTGAATGAAAATAACTAAACCGTATGATTCATAAATGAAATTCCCTACAAAATGATTCAAAGATCAAATGGTACTGACAAAAATTACTTCTTTTCCAGTTCATATCATGTTATCTTTTATAAAATAACAACACTGAGACCATGAAATGAAACGGTATGTTCCAGAAAAAATATGAGACAAAAAAACTGAACTAATTAACACTGTATTTTCCTCTGCAACGATGCCTTTATTGCATAGTAGAATCTGAAAGTATAATCAAACCATGACATTAATGTGTTGAGACTAAGCGTATCCATGTTTGTCTTACAAACCTGGTGTAGCTAAGAATACAGAATTAAAATTCTCAAAAACTTCAATATTTTTTAAGCTTAAAAAATTACCAGATTTCCTCAAGTACGGTTCCCAATAGCTCAAAACAGGCTTTGAAGGTAATGTTGCCAAATAAAAAAAGTGCACTGCAACTGGAAATTCTTCTGCAACTGGTAAGAAGCGTGCGATAATAACAGTCTGAAACATTTCATAGATATGGGTATGTTCAAGGCAAGTTACGACAAGGAAAAAAATAATGATAGCTTGTGTATTCAAATTATCTTCCTGTATCATGGATTACCTCTTTATATAATGCGGTATCAATACCGCAGCACAAATGATTTTTTTTTTCTATCAAATAAAAAAGAACCAAACGACAGATCTTTTGTATTTGATAAAATAAAGATATATTTTAGAACTGCTAACAGAAAATTATTTCTAAAAAAAACATATGATAACGTGAATGTAATGGATTTTGGTTAAGAGACTTTAACTGCTACATTAAATTTTTAATCAGACATGTCTGGATAACGGAGCAAGGAAGAGGAGAGAAGCAGAAAAGGCGATATATAGTTATGAAAGAAGATGGAAAATCTAATGTATACTATTAAAAACCAAATTTAAAAAATCCACGCAAACAACCTGATCGATCCGCAAAGAACGACTACGTATGGCCGAATCGTATAGGAATTTCCCATGCTTGTTTCCAACAATCATTCTGAAACGATGATAATATAAACTATTTTTATTTTAAATTTTAAATGAATTTTACGATTCAATTCTGAAAATTATTATTAAACCAACAAATTATATAGGCCGGAATTATATGTAATAACACTGTGACAGTAATACCGATAATGCAGCAATATATCAAATTTCAAATTGGTCGAATAAGGTGTCCACTGCGACAAACAGTTCCTCTTCAAAGTTATCACCCTGTAAATAAGACTAATTCAAATTAGTTTCAACTACATTATTAACGAATAAGTAAATTGGTCACTTATAACTTCAACAGTTACAGTGATTTTCGGTCCGATAGTCTATGCTTCAAAGCAAAATTTTTCATCACTGAGAAATCCGTCATCTCTTAGTTATTCCTTTAAAAAAAGAAAAATCGTTCATTGGTCGTAAAAAACAATATAGCGCTTAAAAAGTCAAAAAAAATTTCTAGAATCAGCAGTATACCAGAGTCTCAAGTATCTTCTAACATAAATTGACTTCAGCAGAAAAGAAATTCATTAACTTTGACAATGTATGAAAAGCTCACCCATCACTGTAATTCAATAGCAGATCTACACCAAAATTGAAACCAGACCATCGCCAACATTTCTTAAAATAAATTTTATATTTCCTGATATTTTTAACATGTCACGCAAATCTCTAATGGAATAAAGAATTACTGGGGACTAATCTGTTATTCCAGTGCATCGCATTTTCTGGTACTAGTGTCGCAGGATGATAATGGATTATGTACTATCAGAAAGATGAAAAATGAATTGTAACATTATGAACTAAATAATCAAAAACTGTTGGAAAAGAAATGCAAACAAATGTAAGCCGATTTTTTTATTTCGTATAAAAAAAGGTAAAAAAGACATACTGGAGATGAGTCAAGCAACCGTCCTAATCGATGAGCATTAAGGTGAAAATCTTCATCTTTAACTTCGATTTGCCTGGAAAGTATGACTTTCCTTCTTTCATTAACAAATACATCTTTAACAAAATTTTTTTTCTTGTTTGAAACAATCACTTCAATGAAAACAGCATTTAAATTAGTTGAGTTATCAACTTCCTAGATTCCATATACAGGAACTACTATATTTAAAGCCAAGTATATAAAGTTGTCATCTCCTGCTTATTACTGGGATCAAAAAGACCCTCACTATTCCGTTCAAAAGAAGGAAGGAGTGAACATATCTCACAATGCATTGCAATTTAAAATTGAGCTCGGTACTTAATGCTAAATCTCTTCGTAACACACGTTAAAAACATTTAACTAATGAATTCACTTGAAGAAACTTACTCTTTCGTTTCTTCATTACATAAAAGCAAAAACCAGTTGTCAGCAAGCACTTGATCAATAATTTCATTTGGAATAAGTGGATCTTTTCGCAAATCGCCGATCGTTTTTACCGATGAAACAATGTGCCCGATACGGATATTACAAGTTATGTCCGCAAAGGTACGACACAACGCATCCCCGTCATCATCCGTTAGTGAAGAATAATATTTCGTCATCTCAGTACGTATTTCTTTATTTTCCATAACATAAGGAACTGTTTGCAAGAAAATCCACTGAAAATAACTGAAGTTATTACTTCTTAATATTACAAAAATTCATGCAAATATGCAAAATATTAATGACCAAACGAACTCGTTGAAATTGTTCGAAATTCTAAAACAATCCCACAGAAGTATTCAACACCGACTACTTAACCAAAACTGGATTAAAAAAAAGTTGCATTATAGAATCTAACTTGCAGATGCAAGGGACGGCTCAGTGATCAGGCATAGTGATGAACCCGACTATAAAATTCCGTACCTTTTTGATTGTTTCATACAGATCAAGTTCTCCTTCAATGACCAGCAAATCTGATGCAGCCATCAACTTTGCCATCGTTCCGTGACTAGAAAATGATTACCATTGTAATCATAAGCCAAAATATTATTGAAACTGTGCAAATCTTATCAACTGTGCCCTACACTTTTCATAGATTCTTTCACAGCAAAAAAATATTCTTATCGAATGCAGATTTTATCGACTATTTCCACATACGTTGTTCGAACATAATGGAAAAATTTTCTGGTAAAATTAGCTAATAAATCCAAAAAGTAACCACCTGACTGTATAAAGAATTGATGATTTATTGGATAATCGCCAAAAATTATTTTTCAAATACTTGAAACACTTTTCGGACAAATCCGGAAGACCGTATTGTTCGGCAAGCATATAGAACTCAAGCACTCGTTCATCATTAAGTGATTCAGCACATAACTCCTCACAACGCTCCATAACACTATCCTAAAATGAACAAAGTGAATACTAAAATGTAACAGACATGTCAGAAAGTTTTCCACTAAAATTGAAAATTTAAAGATCAATTTATGAAGTTTCAATGAATCCTTCAATGTACAGAGAAAACAAATGAATGAGAAAAATAAAGAAAAACGAATTTCATTGAGATAAAGAAAAATGAGCGACATATATATTGCAGGCCTAATGAAAACATAGCATTACCAGGCTAAGCATTGAAGCTGATGCGATAAGACTTGGAACATTCTCTAAATCGAGTTCAAGTTCATTGTGATACAGTGATTCCAAAACCATATTAAATCCTGAATAAAAAAAATTAGTGAGCAAAAAACCAACGATTCAAAAATTAGTGAATAAATGTACTAAAAACTATACCGACTTCTCATTTCTTCCGACAACTTTGTAGCACTGAGAAAAAAAAAACTTTTTTATATTTCTAATAAAGAAAACTTTAGTAAAAGAATTTGAAACTTCAACAGCTGAAAAATTCAAAACGGATTCTGCAAAACATGGCTTATGTATCAGCGAACAACGCAATGAAAAATTAACCTTCGACCGTGACATTCGGATCAACTATATCAATCTGTATCACTGCATTATTACTATCTTTCCAGTGTCCTCTGAAAGAGATGCAAATGTACGTAACGGAAAAGTACCTGCGGAAAAAGTAAAAAAAAAAACTTTAATAGTCAAATCTAAGTCTTACATTGCAAAATCTTTGGATTACTGCCAAGGATTAAATAAAACATATACAAGTTGTTTTGGTCCTAATGACAATTATACGATTATTTCTGGTCAGCAGATTTATCAATGTTAACGCGATTTAGCACCAGATTTCTAAGGAAGTCAAGACATTGGATTTGAAACTATTTGGTCCAATCCACCTGCCAATTAACTGAAAGATTTGTATATACCAGAATCTTTCGAGGCAAACAGAACATATAACAAAATGATTTCTTTTACGAACCATGTATGTCATATACCTGAACAAGCTATCGAAAAATTTGCACTGCTCCAAATAAAGTCTGTGAAGATTCCATGTTCGCCCCAATGCACAAATTGTTATATCCGATTTGGCACCATCAACAAACAATCGTTTATGGATATATTTCGCAGTATCCAACTAAATACTGATAATTACAGAGAATATCGTAATTTGAGAAGTCAATAGCTTCGAGGAGATTGAAAAATACGGTACTTTTAACAAACGCATTAAAAAATTACATTTTTCGTTTGCTTCCTACGCTTATCTAAAGGGCCAGGTACGATAACTTATCAATGCAGTAATATGCAGATAAAATTTACGGCAGTATCCAACACTCTTTAATAATGAATGATAAGATTTAAGACAAGTCAACTCGTATTTTCAGTAAGCGGAGATATAAGCTTTTTTATTTAACACATATAATCGGATCCAAAATTTACTTCCTCGCAAGAGGCAGTCTATAGAAATCCTAAAACCTTCCATACGTACTTTGCTGATTTTCTTCTTCCGCGTTTCCATCTGACTATCACCGGTTGCTTTACGTTTACGTGAAGGAGTAGCCCGTGTAGAATCAGCAATCATATCAACATCACTGGACCCCGTCCCACCATTTGATCGACCTAGTAATTGTCCCATCTGATTAACACCTAAAAAGTTGACCTTCCTATATTTTCCAGCCTTAAACCACTGAAACAATGCTGAAGATTGAAAAAATGTTGATCTCTGCCTACTGCATTTATATCAATACATTAAAGTCGGTGTTTCAGAATATGCCAGATCCATTCTTGTTTCGTTTGTAATAATAATCATGACAAAATAACGGAGCAGTCACTGAAAACATGAAAATCGATAACACAATCGTACCTTTCTTTAAAGTGAACACAGCCTCTATTTTTACAATTCATCGATGACCCGCAGATACTTTCATGAACCTCTGACTTTACCCAGAATGAGAGCCAAATTTTCCCACATCCACAAGAAATATCAGCACCAATCCCGACTACCACACACCTTTTGTAACCAGGTCATGAAATCACCACAACTAACAAAGCCACCCACATTATTTATCACCCCAGTACCCACTTATCACATGGTTACCTGGGCCGAACCGTAAAATGCAAAGTTAACGGCTCTATAGTCCGGCGCGTAGATGGGTCGAGAGTATTGAGATGATAGGTTGTGGGACGTGGGACACTTTCGTGCCGGATTACATGGCAGTTAAAAATTAGTACCTTTCTATGTATGAATTCTGTTAAATTATGGAGTAGATAGAAGACAATGACTTCATGATTCAGGAGTATTCGCATGTACGGACATGATGATCACTAGATTAATGCTACCTTCAGAATAGTGTAAACCAAAAAAGTTCCTGTTGGGTGATGTCTTCTGGAATAATGCCACTGGGAAATTAACTGGGACGATAAAAAGAAATGCAATAAAATATGGTGGAGTGCAACATTAGCAACATATTATCAGAATATAATTATTGCTAACAGCCATATAAGCCTCCTTTTTCTTTTTGCAGAGAGTGAGTTGCACCGACTGCGCAATTGCAGAACAGGCACTATTGGACAATCAAGATCTTACACTTTTTTCTTTTTGATGGTCCTTTATTATACTTGTTAAATAATGAAAATTAAATAACCTAGAATCCAATTCACAACTATCAATTATTGTATTTATTTCTGTCCTGACTCAGTTGAGGTTACTACCTGACAAAGATGGTAACCTCAACTATGAACCAACTGAAAATCCTTGTGTGACAAAACTGAAGCACTTGTCCCAGGTTCTGGACTTCTCCAGATATGCGCTGTTCCGGATTTCGTCCAGCTACACTACGACCATTTAAGCCACTCAAAATTAATATTCATAATTCCAGAAATGAGAAATTCCACCGGAAGAGCTTACATACATTATAAATGACAAGAGAATCCAAAAAATGCAAATTTTTAAATAATTCACTGGGGACACAGAAGGAGAAGAGAAAAATATGAAGAGTCGAAATAAATTTTACATACAAAGAAAAATATGTTCATATTTATAAAACATGCAATAAATTAACAGTGCATAGCAGCAGCGTATACATAACACACATTTACAAGGAAAACAACACACCTCTTTAAGAGAGTCTTAAGCTTAAAAATTGCAGAAGGTCGTAAAAACTTGAATTCTTGTCACACAACCACTCTTTTTAACTGTCCATATATATATATATACCCACACCCATACAAAGATACAGTAAAAAATATAAATTGAGCATAGATGTCAAATAATGAATAGAAGTGTCTCGAAATAAAAAGAAAAATTTAGTATGCAAATGACAAAAAAGCTGCTTACAGCAATGGAGAATATATGTACCTTAGTGGGCATTCAATATCTGATATATCTGTAACTAGCAGATAGATATTCGATATCTAGCCATTCTTCAAACTCATTGCGATATACTTTCGGTGCTTTTGAATTTTGATAGTCAACATCAATTTATAAGAAGTTGAAATGGAAGAAATTTTCAGATAAAAAGCTCAGCAAGAAGAGCATGATAAAGAAATGTAACCAAATATAAAAAGCGATAAATGTACAAAACCAACAAAATATCCTTTTTGTTAATATCTCTTAAGTGACTCAGTGCAAAATATTTTCTAATGGTAGCGTAACTGTACATCAGTCTCATAAAAAATTTTAAATCCATAGGTATAAAATAATACGAACTTCACCACATTAAATTTCAATGCAACACACGCGACTGAATAAAGTAACAGAAAAATAATCCAGCAGTACAGTCCTCCTATACCTGTCAAAGTTGTGAAACCATACAACTTCAATCCGATTCCCATTCACTGTCGTTGTTATTCGCTTCTTCTTCTGATTCTGATTCTGCAAAATTGAAGTTTTTCCAGCTGGTACCTAGATATTTCGAGCGGAGAGATGAAGAAATTTTCGCTCCAAGAAATAAATTTCCACTTTTCTGTCTATTTTAACGTTCCACAATCAAAAAATTGATCAGCACAATGAATCTGTCGAAATATTAATTCATCAAATGTCAAAGTTGCAAATAAATTGTTGCAATGAATAATTAAAAAAGCAAATAATAAACCATCTGAATTGCGTATGTTCCTCCGTCTTTCTTCTAAAGCTCGGGCTAAAGCACCCGCAATTCCGGCCACGTCCGTAGCACTTGGTATTGATTTCCGATTTTCAATCTCCTCTTTGTCTACCTGCAAAAACTTACTACTCCAAAAGCATTCACACTTTTATTCCAGCAACGACAAAAGGAGAAATATATTTTCAAAATGTGATTCTAAACATGATAATAAAAAAAAACAAATGAATCAACTGTATCAATTTTTATGTATTCATGTAATCCTTGAATAAAAAGAAAGACTAATTTCACAGTAGAAAATTGATACAAACAGGCTTTAGATTGGCTCCCTGCTTTATTTGTGCCATTATTTCATCGCGTGCATCGGTAATACCACTGTCGTGATTGGTATTTGTTGTTACTTGTTTCAAAGTAACTCCCGCTTGTATCTCCTGAAAAATGGCATGAAAAATAATATGTACATAGCAAGTAAGATTTTTATATCTCATTCGAAACTTCATTATATTCAGATTTTAAAATACAGTAGAGCAAGTTCTGTTAATGAAAAATGGAATATGAAATTACCAAATGTCCTACTGAATAAGAAAAAAGTATGAAAGAAAGAAAAAACCGCTTACACTAAGCAAACTTGCTTTTCCCCCTCCAGCACAGTTGCTGGCAGTGGAAGCATAAGAAGGAGGAGGCGGTGGTGGAGGCGGAGGTGCTGTACTACTGGGGTATGTTACAGCAGGTGGTGGTGGAGGAGGAGGTGGAGGTGGTGCAAGCAAAGAAGTTGGAGAAATTGACGAAGAAGGTGGTGCTACCGATGTGGAGCACGTAGAACTTGACGGTGGAGGTGGCGGTGGAGGTGGTGGGGGTACATCATTTGGTCGGTAGGGAGTTGGTATTCCGTTCATTGCACCAGGTGGCTAAAAAAAAACTGAAGTCGCATATTCTTTAAAAGTATACTGACCAGAAAGAACTACACAGTGCAATTCTTTTACGCTCAAAAGCTCAAAATTTTAGAACACTTTCCAAAACTTTTACAGAAAATTCATTTAACCTGTGGTAAAGGTCTTGTTGGAGGCTTGCTGGAAGCAGGAGGTTTCAGCGGCGGTCTTGAAACTGGAGTGCTATGAAGTCCTTCACGACGCACTAATGGAGGTGGTGGCGGCGGAACTGGTGATAATGTAGCCGAATTCGTAATTGAAGAGGTCATGAAAGGCCTGAAAAATTGTATAGTTAGTGTTCCGAACAAAGATGCATTGCATTTTAATTGCGAGCCGTCTTAAAATCAGTTATAGAAAGTTAGCGAGAATGAAAAATTAAACTCTCGGAATCACCTCGGATAATTATGATGCATTGGAGCTGACGATTGTTGTATTTGGGGTACCTCTTGATAGCCTGTAATGAATTTTTTCGAAAATTCCAAATCATCTTTAGACATTCGCTCCGGATTCTCTCCTGCAGCGCGCAACACAGCCTTGACGCTATCATCCATTGGATCATAGTTATAAGTTTCTTGCGAGAAACCACCGTCTTGATTCCATCCAAGATGTGCCTTATGTCTACAGTATCAGAATATTACAAAAGTCCTAAGAATACGGTTCGCAAAACTGAAAAGTATGAAATTGTTAATTCTAGTGTGTATGGTGATCGTCAAGAACAATATTATGAATGTCCATAGGAATATCTCTGGTCCAATCTTTAGTACAAAAAACCAGTGATGAATCGGAATTCTGCACCTCTGAGTGAGGCCTAGCTTATGTAGAGAAAATTTTTTTAAGAATGATAGGAGAAAATAAATTAAACTTCTAATCAAGTCTTTCGGAAAGATGAGAGCTAAATAATAAATGAAATTCATTTGTTATTTTTTCATTTGTTCATTTGTTTCATATTCAGTTGTGTAACAAAANAAAAAAAAAAAAAAAAAACTGACTGAAAATTGGTTGGATTACTGATGTCCTCTTTTCGAATCTTCTGCTTTTTTTCTTTTTTTGAACTCTTTTTTCTGGTTCTATTAATCGTTACAAAATTTGTCCATGTTCCGCCACCAATATTTGGAACAGTGCCCATGCTGGTGATGCCAGTCCTATGTGGTGCCGAAACTGTATGAGTTCGACCACCCATAGGTAACAGTGGTGATCCAGATGAGGATGAAATGTTCTGAGAGCCACTAGTTGCTAGCCTCTCTTTCTCTTCTACAGAAAAAATGAACTGTATCAAGTAGCAATATATGTAACCGCTTAGACACGTTAGATAAAATTTTTTAAATTTGTTCCTCGTCAGCGATCTCATGTTCTGCTTCAATATTTCCTCCTTTTTATACTTTCCGGTTTCTCAAATTTCGCAACAAAACGTACATCGTTCCAAATCCGTAAAGTAAAACTGCTATTTCCTGACCAGCTTCAATGGTTTAAAATGTTTCAAAGGATTAGAAAATGCAGAAAGAAATGATGCCTGACAAACTTACGAGACTTTTTCTCTTGTTCGTAGCGTTTATCAAGATGGGACTTGAAGCTGTGCGCTTCTTCCTTACTCGAAAAATTCAAACCAAATACACATTCATCTCCTTCGAATGTCAGAAGATGTGGACAGCCTAATGGCTGTGATGCATGAAAATTTTTGTACCTAAACTACCAAATGTAAAAAATTGTTGTTTAAAGACACACTAAAAATCACTGTGGAAACACCACGGGAGTTAAGAAATGAACTCAAATGATTTAACTTGTAAAACATCTTAAACATAAAAAAAATCACCTTACATCCTATAGTCAAAATTTTTCGAATTAAAAGACTGTAAATAACTCACAACATTTGTTGCCAAAGATATTGTTTCCTATAAATATCATATAAGCGCAAGAAGTATGCTCTTTTATCATAGTCCTTGACGAGTGAAACAACTCCTCTGTGAGCTTTGATCCACACTCTTGGATTTCGTGGATCAGATTTCAACAACTGCACAACACCTGCTGCTAATGAGATGCAGTCATGTCCAAGCAGCGAAAATAGCGTACTATTTTCAACTGAGTTAAAAAGAAGGGCACCTGTGTTTGGCGGTCTGCAATAATGTACAAATGCAGTACTTTTTCTAGATGGACTATAAGAAACTAAGATTATCCGATATAATGCAGATAAAAAGCTGTAAACAAATAATGATAAAGTAGCAATTTACAACATTTGAATGTGTGATTGGAAAAAGGGCTTCTCTTAAATAAAGATATCCTCTTCAGAATCAGGATCTATCAAAACTCGTGTAGAAAGAGATACCTTTTTTTGGGGCGACCTGTGGGCGTATTACTTAAGCCCATATGTTGTACGCCTAGTTGATATGACCCAGTTGCTGTACCACCGGTGTACATAGTCTGAAAATATGGCAATATTAGTGACAACGACAAAATAAAATCTCTTTTATGACTTCAGATATTATTACACAATACCTCTAAGATCCACTTTGACAGAAAGGCAGTTTAAAGAAACAGATATAAACAACAAGCAAAACATTGGTGCATTAATGACAACATTGATTGAAATAACCGAAACTATAATTTCTCTGCAAAAGCAACAGCAGCAATGAAATTTGCATATCGCCACATGGGTTATAAGGATTATAACTACATCACCTCAAAACTTTAAAAATTTCATTTTAAATATGTCATACTTTTGTTTTGTTATCAATATTTATTCACATTTCTTAATATTGATGATAATTCATACCAGTTTCGATTTTCAGCAACAAATTTCGTAACATACAATAAATAATGTACAGCAATACCTGAAAATGTAGCGCATAAGAGAATGAAATACTGAAAATAAGGACTTAAGGTGAAATTTAATATCTTTCCTTCTTCTTGACAATGTAATCTAATTCGCTACCATCAAAAATCCTTCATATTTTGATACCATAGTTTTTTTTTAAAATCTAAAGTTGAATATCCCACCCGAATGGCAACGATTAAGGAACGATAATAAGACCTGCGAAAGAAATGTTCTGAACCTTCATCAAACCAACGAAACATAACTGTACGTTGAGGGCTAATGACGAGATCCAAATCATCAATAACCTGATCTGCTAATCGAATGGGTTGACGGTTCCATCACCAGCCCATTTTATATGTCGATTTGATAATGTGTAAAATGTATCTAAGAAAATTCAAGATTTGCATAAAAGCGATGAACCTGAAGAAGTAAAGATCGAGCTGTTCAAAAACAAATTCTTTTAAGCGCAGTATATAAGCCCTTCTACCACTGCACAATCTTCTGTAAATAAACATATTTATTGAAAAACGCTTCAGAAGACAAGCATATCAACAACATCAATATTTGTAAATGCATATCAAATACGCTAATTATGTGATTCAACAAAACTAAGACATTTGTAACCTACAAAAATAAACACGGACATTTGTTTACAACAGCCAGCTATATTTGCCAGAAAATCCTTGAATACTGTCTATAATTTCGGAAGTTTGAAACTAGTCAACACTTTTTTAATATGCAGATTGGATAACGCCATATGCTATATTCCATTTTTTTTTCAGATTACTTCAAAACAATGAACTCAGCTGACTGTAATAATATTACAGTCAGCTGAGTTCATTGTTTTGAATATCGCTAGCTAAACAGGAGTTACCAATGGGCAGAATTTTAACGTCTCTTCAAACTGTACGGTTTCCGGATAATAAAGTTGACAGTCTTTTTATTAATTACCCGGCTCAAGTCCGCTATAGCACAAGCATTTCCTAAGGATCGAAAATAAAATATGGCGTCTGAAAGTATCCACTCCCATAACTTACGCAGAAATTCTGATTCCCTCACAATGCCGGATTCCCGCAATCTGGGTTCAGCCATCCGTACAACAAATCCAAACAGTAAACATTTCTAAACATTCATAACAATTGAATAAATTTTGCCTGGATATTATGCCTTAAAATTCAAGTCAGATGACTTACTTTACTGCAACTCACGGGATTTCCGAATTCAAAATTGAACAAGTTAACACTATTAACAACATTTGCATCAACCGTAGAGTACCGATCAGTCCGGTTACGATGAAGGGACGGGACAATTTTCAACGCTGTGTGAAGTTCTGATTGGTAATACCATCAGAAGTGGCGTATCTCAGGTCACTGTGATTTGCGCAGATATTACTCATCGATATTATGGTGTTTATGTGCAACAGTACAGATATATTAAAATTCTATGCAATTCACAATCTAATTCAGGACTGAAATTAGATAAAATGCACGAATCATCAAAGTGCTATGGAACTTTCCACATACGAAGGTTCAATGAGATTATGCTAATAAAATACATTCTTAAATTTGAACAAATAATATCGGATAATCCCTGTGGCATTTGAGACCATCTCCCTGTACCCAACATGTCATTCCGGAATGAGCAATCCTAGTTTCGAGTTTTATGGAGTGCTCAGTCCCCATCTACTAATTCCATTCGAGACCACAAGAAGTTTTGGTCTGACTATTACAATTTCAACATGTCACCAATTAGATCTACAATAGTTTGGGGCGAAGTTTGTTTAAGACACATAACTTCTGTTGACCTCTGGACAAATGCCCATGGTAAAAAATTCTACAGTTTTTAATTGAGAGAAACAAGGAGAGGGACGAAAAACAAAATATACATCGAATACATCTGGCAAACCGTTGCACTTCTTCCATCTTTTACCTTCCGGTTCTTCTGGTCAGGATGGTGTTTTATCTAGCCAGCACGCAGGATCCTTTTCAGTTAGTTTGTTGGATTTGTCCCCCCGCATGTCTCTTGTTTATCTTCACGGTAATGAGGCGGAAGATCGATGCGGCATATTCTGGAAAAAAATTAGCCATACGGTGCAAACACAGAGCAAAGAAGACGAATGGACAGGTGGACGGATAAGTGAAGAGCTAAAAGATGAACGGAAAGTATCTGCGCAAACATGGACAGACAAATGGACGGACAAGCGGACGGGTGAACGGAACAACGGATTGTACGTACAGACACATAGATGGATATGTGAACTGCACGTAAATGTAACTGACTGGAGAATTATCTTAGCAAGCCACTTAAAATTTAAAAAAACTAATAAAATACACATCGATTCAGCGGGCCGTCGGAGAGAGAAACACCAGCATGAACGCATTATTTGTGATAATGAATCAGAACCAATTGCTCTTAAAAGAAACAGTGTCGGTATACATACACTTACATATACTTACACACACGCATACACAGACACACAGACACAGACACACAGGCACACACACACACACACACACATGCACACATGCACACACACATATACACATGCACATGCACACGTACCCATGCAACACAAATACGTAGTAGACAGTGGACGAGACGCGTCGCATCGAACATGCCATCAGTTGTTCAGTAGTCATTCTGTTTTTATTTTTTAATTAATGATCATAATTTTTGAATATGCCTCTGAAAAAGAAGTAACATACGCAAGTTTATGTGATTTAAAAGTGATGATGGTTTCGAAAGTGATGGTGATAAACTGTTTTGATCTGAGAGTTGTAATTGGGTAACATGTCAAAGATTGTATGGAGACAGAAGAGTAGTGGAGGATAACATTCTGATTCTGATTTTTTTTTTTTTGAATAAAATCCCCTTGCTAGCTTTATCAAAATTGAATAATATCAAAGGGAAGTAGGCCATAGGAAAGTACTGCAATATTTTTTTGATTGGAATTATGATTGCCTTAAGAAAGGAAAAAGGTTCAAAAACGTACCATCCACTGACCGATCGGTCAGTGGATGGTACGTTCATGCAACATTATTGAATGTGTTTGAATGCAAAATCATTATGACAGAAGAGATATCGACCATCGGATCATTTGCTCCCGAAAATTGACTCCCTTTTTTTCCATTGGAAATTGCATTGACTGTGTGCATACTATTCAACAGAACAATTGACAGGAGTATTAAAAATTGGAAAGTTATTCGAGCATAGCTAACTAAAAAGCGCCATTTATATATTAGCAAATGACAGAAAGAATATAAGCAAGAAACATTGTGCACATCAAGGAGACTTTCATAGAATTCGAATTTCTCGAAATGGCAAAAGCAAAAACCGGTTTATGGCCGTTCAGTCATTTTGCGAGACTGAGGTCGAGACCGGTTGGTTGTTGTATTTTTGGTTTCTAAATAGGTTCGCGGGAAAGAAGAGAAAAAAATGGGCTATGAGTGTTCTCATCCTTGTTGCAGTTTTACTTTCTCATTTGAGGACAATCTGTAGTTCATTGTAAACGGGAATGTATCAGAAAATCAAGGCTTGATGGCTGAGAATATTCTTTGGTTAGATTTTTGGTGTAATCCTAAACTGAGGAAAATCCTTAGTCTCAAAATTACAGAGAGAATCCTCGGTAATTTTGAGAAGAAATTGTAGCTGAGTGTCTTTGTTACGGATGTACAATTTTAACGTTTTACGATGCTATCATCATTTGATTCGGACGAATTATCTGAGTGTTTCAGACTTACTTGTATAATACATAATTTCACTGTTTAATTGGAATCGATGGCAAAACGTTTTGAACGTCAACTGGGTATTTTCTTTTTTACCATGATTTTAGATAATTTCTTCTTGAAAGAAGAAATTATCTAAAATCATCTGATATAAAATTAATATCGCTTTATATGGATCATTAGAAGACGTTGTAGAAGCAAATTCTCATGAAATTTTAACTCAACGATTTTTAATCTTATGTTGGAATTGTTTTCCTTGTCTGATTTTTAGATAAAGCCACAGATTCCACACTTATTGACCCAAACTGGGATGCCATTATTGAATGTGTGGACTTGATACGTGGAGGAGAAGTACCGTAAGTACCTATTATTATCAAAGTGATATTTTTCAAAACATATGTTTCTGAGAATTGGATTGAATTATTTATCGAAATATTATGAGAAGGATCCTTACCGATCTAACAAGATTAGGTTGGCTTCAAAAAGTAAAATTCCTACAGTGATAGCGAATTGAACTTGATTCATGAACAAATATTTCCATTTTCCATTTCTGCCCACACACTATATCAATTTGAGACTGTTTCTTGCAAAATAAAGATTGCAAATTTATAGCGTAAAAGCCGCCGCAGCCGCAATTAAGAAGAGGTACCATAACGAAAATCCACATGTGGCTCACCACGCATTACTCGTCCTGGAAGCATGCATGAAGAACTGTGGTGTCAAGGTACTTTGTTCATGCCATTTTATCTTCGATAATTAAATTTTTTCAAAAACGAATTTATGTCAACTTTTTTTTCATATGAGTTATTTCAGTTTCATGCTGAAATTGCAACAAGGGATTTCATGGAAGATTTGAAGAATCTCTCGCTAGATACAACACCAGATAAGGTCGTCAATAATTTATCATTTATTTTTTTCAAATATTTTTTAAGAATCTTCTGCTTGTAATAAGAGCTTCTATCGTATCAGTCATTAACAGTATAACATGTCTTACCACACTTCATCTAATAGTGAAGAAGTTGAAATAGTGTGAAATTATAAATCAAATGAGATAACTTGAATATCCGATGAACTGAATGTGGTGGCACACATTGTTAGTTGGAATTATTGGAAAGTGTTACAGACAGATGTATTACAAATAACGACGGGGTAATCGCGGAAAGGCAAAATTTTTTCTTTTTCGGAGTTCCAATCTTTTCTGTTTTATTATTATATTTATTATTGCACAGTAATAAGTTGATGTTGAAACCAAATTTCAGAACGAGGTTAATTCAAATTTCATAAAGAAATGGATTAATGTCTCATTTCAGGTTAAGAACAAGATACTAGAATTGCTGCAGTGTTGGGCATTAGCTTTCAAAAATAAACCCGAGTATAAAATTGTAGTCGACACTCACAATTTAATGAAATTAGCCGGTTTTGATTTTCCACATGTTGCCGAGGCAGATGCAATGTTCATTGCGGAAAGTGCACCGGAATGGGCAGACGGAGAGGAATGTTTCAGGTTTGAAACTTTATTTAGCTTTATGCTTTTCTAAAAATTATCCAAAATTTGATAATCTACTCGAAGAATGATGCTTTTAGCCATACACATTATGTCCATTGTTTCGTGCTAATTTTTCATTGTAGATGTCGAACAGCATTTGGGATCATTACACGTAAGCATCACTGCCGTGCCTGTGGACAAATATTTTGCGATAAATGCAGCAGCAAACAAAGCTTCTTGCCGCAATACGGTATTGAAAAGCAGGTGAATATTTCGCTACCTGAAAGAAAGAAATTTGATTTCTAAATATTTCATGTAAATATTTGAATTAAGATTTAATTTTTTAAAATAGACCAACTCTTAACTTTATTCGAAATTCCCATTTTTGTTTGTTTAGCCGAATAGAAAAAGATTTATAGGTTTAGCAAAAGGAAAGAATTTTTCCAGGTAAGAGTTTGTGATGGGTGCTATGAAAAGACAACAGCAAAAAAGACCGATGTCAGTTGCTTACAAAGTTCAGTACCGCCATCATCTAAAGGTGATAAACCTTTGTCTCTTGATGCGCGGAAAACAGCTGAGCAACGGGCTCGTGAATTAAAGCAGGCTGAGGAAGATGAAATTAATTTGGCTATTGCACTGAGTCAATCAGAAGCAGAGGCACAGGTTTGTTACTTGTGAATTATTTTGTGACTGTACATTTGAACTGCAAGAGTAGTAAGTTTGCATTATTATCCGCCTTATTTTTGTCCAATAGTAACTGTATAATAATAAAGACAGCAAGCTTGCTTGGGTTCTTCAGTATCAGTTAAGGCCTTAATTCGGTCAATCAGCCTGTTATCACCAAACCATGTTTAGGTTATAAGAATATACTGAAATGAATAATTGCATTAGTCTGGAATATAATATGAAAATACGTGGTGAATAAGAAACAAAATTTTAGGAACGTGAAAGGCAGCGTCGTCTTTATGAATTGTATAATGGTATTGATACTTTAAACGATATTAAAATTAACGGAAGTACTCATGATGGCGAGCTGAATAAATCAGTTTATAAAGGTGCAGCGCCCTCCATCGGTACTCTTTTTACTGTTTATTTATGAGAAAACATCGAATAATATATAAATGAAGGAGTTCGAAATTTAGATGAACGGTAGTTAAGTTAAATTAAAAATGAAATAATGTATATTCAGCAAGCGATATGCCAGCATCGTCGGGCGTTGCTTATGTAGATCCAGAACTGGCGAGATATTTAAACCGAGATTATTGGCAGCAGAGAAAAAATGAACAGCGAAATTCGGTAGTTGCATGCTTTTTAAATGTTTATTTTGGTTAAGAGTAACATGTGCAGAAACATATATATATATATATATATATACTTTGTGTATAGCTACATTTTTTGTTCTCTTATTTTCTATTATACTTATTAAAAGTGATTAGCTATATCTAATAACTAGCAAACAGGTTTTGTTTTAGGTATCAGCAGTATTGACGGTTGACGGTCAACAAAAAATACCAACGCCAACTGCACCACCACCAAGCGAATCATCGCGTTGTGCGCCTAGTCATGACCATGATGGTACGGTTTCACTTATCGCGCCTTCATTTGCCTCAACCACAAAGCAGCTCGAAAGTGATACTACCGCAGCATCTCATTTTATTAGTACTGAAGAGGAAGAAACAGCAGAAACAATGGAATTTTGTCGACAGCTGGTGGAACAGGTATATTATTTCTAGTTTTCAACAACTGCAGAAGGAGGGGAAGGAGTTAACACGTTGAAGTCTACCTCTACATCGTCATATATTCCTTCCTGAAAGTATATACACAATAATATTTTACTTGCAATAATACCACTGCTAGGTAATACGGATGACAGGAAGTGATCAAAAATCGTATGGACGTTAGCAACAGTTGAAGTTTTGTTGTATCAGATAGATTCTTGTCTATGTCTTCTCGTTCCATTGATTACTACCATTCATTTTCAAAATTTCATATTTTCAGGTTACTGTCATGGATAATCGAATTCGTTCCAACGTTGCTCGAAATCGTTCTGTTGTCAATGACACTGCAATACAATCTTTATTCATACGCTTGACCGAGATGCATGCCCAAGTAATGGCACGAATGAACAAGCTAGAGGATCAAAGAAGTCTGTTCATTTGATAATACTCTCGTCAATATAACAATTCGAAGGAATCTATGTTGATATTTGGAACAGTCAAGGGCAACAAAGAGTTGCTTTACTATCTATAATTTGTTAATCACTTCCACTCACAATATTGTTCGTTTTCAGATCATTTTGAATCTCTTCAAGATAGTTTAGCTCATATCCAGGAAGCTAGACAAGCCATAGATGCTCTCAGGGAAGATCATGAACGGCAAAAGCAAGCAAGAATTATGGAAGAACAACGTCTGAAACAGATACAAATGCAGCAGAAAGTGGATTTAATGAGGCAGAAGAAGCATGTTAGTTTTTTTTTTTCTTAGGTAGTATCAACACCAATAAATTTATATTCATTATTTTGAATTTTCCTCAAAAGTTGTAGTTTTTCGAATATATAGCTTGTGTGTTAATGGTTTTATTTCTTTTTTTTTGACAGTTTATTTAATTTTTATCTATTTCGCGCCAGTACTTATTTCTGATGTGCAGTTTCATTGCTGTAATTTTTATTACAGGAAATGATATTACATCAACGCCAAATGGCACTTTTACGCTTCCAGCAACAAGAACAGGAAATGCAAATGAAACGAATGCAAATGATGGGACAGAATATTCAAATGAATCCCACTAGTCAACCCACAGAAATGCATTATAGTCAGATAATTGCGGAGCCTACTCAGGCTATCATGCAAGGGAACAGCATTCCCTGTGGTTCGTTAATATTTATATTGTGTTGAAGAAAGAGTGGGATGGAAGTAAAAACAATCTCTATCTTTTAATCTTATTTCATTTTGCTTTTGAAGTGCCGTGGGATTCAATAATTTTGCATTTTAAAGTTAGTTCTGTACTACTTTCTGCTTATGTATGACGTTTGTGAAAGAGATTTTTTCTTAGGGTAGTACAGGCAGTGGTATTATAGCAGAATCTAAATAGATCTGTAATGCAACTTTTTTCACTAAAGAAGTACCTTTGTCAACATTTAAGAACAGCTGTATAAAATTTTATTGCTTCCTGTAAGTTAAAATATTTTACGTACTTAAATTGGCTCTTATTTTAAGAATTGGTGTAACATATCTTAGGTTATCCACCAAGTGCATATGTGGGTCAGGCCCAGTTAAGTTATGCTATTCCAACGGCACAGAGTTATGCATCTGGTGCGCCTCTGGTACAGGATGGTGCCGTAGCTGCAACAATTAAGCAAGGTTCAAACATTCCAAATTATACACCAATTCAACCCTATACTGATCAGGTGATTTGCTTCATAACTTTTTACACATAACTTGAGCTTTTTCGATAAGGAATTTGGATTTTCGAATATATATGTTGGGAAGAGCAAAACCAAAAAAAAAAAAATTATAGCAGTTTGCTCTTGTTTATGGATTTGGTAGTATTTCATCCATGTTATTTGGATTAATAGGTTTCGGTAGACGTGCAGCAGCTACAAGAGCAGCAACAGTTCTTCAAATCAGATGTGCCAACATCGAACCACCAGTTGAGCGCCTCTCAGAATTCATTGCAACTTCTTGCAGCTAGTAATGCCCCAGCTTACAGTGTTGCTTCCCTGCAGTCTTCTGTTTCACGAGCTTATCCCGGATATCAGGTATTTGATTTCTTCTTATGAAGTTATAGTGCTCTTTTGTGTAAAAACTTGTAAACTTCTCTTTACACAATATATTATACATTGATGGGTATTTTATGTGAGCTTGAATCAGTTAGTGTAAAAAGTAAAACTGAAAATATGCACTTGATGAATTTTTGTCGTGATTTGACGAAATTTATTGAACAGTTATTGAAGAAAATGAAAGTTTCAGCAACCAATGGAACAACCTGTTGTTACACTTCCAGGTGGACAACAACAGCAGCAGCAACTTCAGGTTACCGTAGCCGGTATTGGTCACCAAAAGCTTGGTCTTCAGGAACAACAAAAGCCTAGTTTTGTGCCATCAACGACAATGCCGACAGTTTCAACTCAGCACACTAATCGAATGATGCAACCCTTTTCACCGTATTCTCTGTCAAGTTGGTGAAAACTGAATTCCTATTTCAGCTCATAGTAAATTAAGAGGACAAACAAAGCTTTACGACTCTTTTTTTTCTTTTGGTTTTCAAAATTGCTTTTTTCTTCACAAATTTTATTCAGATGGAATGATAGTGGAGCATCCCGCCCAAAATATGCGTTATTCAGCGCAGTCTCAAGCGAATGAAGAAACGCGATCACAGGTCGTAGCGCAGCCAACTGAAGAATTGCTTATTTCATTCGACTAAAAGAAATGAATCATTTGCTTTCACACTTCAGTCATTTGACTTTCAGTAATTTTAAAACTAAATCTCATGTATATGAAGGAATTTACAGACGTAACTCCTAAAGAATAATGTGAATTTAGAATGTTTCTGGATTCCCCTTTGTATAAATCCACTTCTACTTTTCCTTTTTATCTGTGATATCTCTCTACACAAATACGAATTATTCACGAACTTTAGTAGCTGGATTGACTTCCTATCACCTTTCACTTTTCCTTAAACTCCTACTGGATTCATAGTATCACTCCATGCAGTTGTCTCTACTTCGTTAATACATTTTATTGTATAATATATATGCACTTCTATAAATAAAGGTTCTGCTAGAGTCTTTAACTATTCACTTGAAAAAAATGACATATAAAAAGCGTTCATATATCACTGACATCCTTAAATAGTAGTAAACATAAACATTCACAACAGTGACATAATAATTTCCGTATTTGTCGGAGAAGTTTTGACATATGTCTGTTTAAATTTCACCAAAGTGTTGCTTCACTTCATCTTGAGTAGATGAGGTAACACTCACTGTAAGGTCAGGCACAAAGGACAATCATACATAACAATAATTAAGTTGTAAGGTCCCGTTCCACGTCTTAATCCCGAATGTAGCAAGAGAAAAACAGAATGTAGCCCGAGAAAAATATCTCAATTATACATAAATTGGCACCGTTTCCCAATCAGAGAAAAGGATAATATGCAGGGCAAAAGCTTACTAAATTTTGCAAATAGCAGTTATACCTGCTATTTGCAAAATTTACTATTTAAAAAAAAAATACTTCAAAATTTTCGACAACTGCTCTATTATCTGAGCTTCATGAAATGGAAATAGTTTTTTGAAAGTTTCACAAAATTGAGATGAAATGAAAAACAGGTTTGAGAGAGGATATTTTTGATTTTTTTTTCTTATATTCTGTTTATTTCCTTTTTGAAACATGGCCCGCTCCTGTTCGTATAAGAGTGACGAAATATTTTTGATGGACTAGATACAATTAAAAATAATGTAAAGGTATATGTGAATACTAAAGCTACTCTATTTTCACTATTTGAGAAGACAAAAACACAGCACATCATTCACTGTAGAATTTCGAGTATCTTCTATTTTTGTGTTCTACCGGTTCGGTATATCCTCGTATATTCTATATATCTCGATATTGACACATTTATCCCTCTTCAGTTGATTAAGCAATTATTATATCCTTGGTTATCAGATCGCTCGGAATTAGAGGGTGTCGCAAAAGAGAGCGGATCGCTTGGCATGAAGGTAGTTATTTTCCGTTGCTTGACACATATTCCATTCAACAATGAATCAATTACAGCCTGAAAAATGCCCAGTGATTTATGATATGTAGACATAAAAAGACTACTGCTCTCTATCTTTTAGAACAATAATTACAGTGATGAAAAAAGAAATATATTCAGAATACTTTGATTATTATTATTTAGATTATCAACATCTTTTTTTAAAGCAACAAAGAGAATACAATATCTCAAAAAGATTATGATAAATCAACTGCTGGAAAACAAGCGTTCGTAAAGTGCTCCATAATCCAAAGATAAAATAAACAACTTACTCGAGCAAAATAATTAACTGTTGAATTCCTTGTTAAATTAGAATCGTCTAATTCATAGAAGGGAGTCATATCATTCTTATCTCCAATTTCGTAGTCTGAACAATATTGCAGAAAGGCTGTGGAAATAAGCTGAAATTTCAAAGACAAATAATACTGCCACACATTAAAACTTTTTCTTATAAGACATGATAACTTCTAAGTAAAACATTTTTTGCATGCAGTATCATACAACTGTACACAGAATGGCGTACAGTAATTTGTCACGCTAAATTATCGCTCAACCGAAAAAAAAAGCAAAACCTGATCTAAATCTAGCTTCTCACTGAATACCAGCTCGCTATTTCGTTCCAAAATAATAGCAATGATACATAACAGCTGAAAAAATCTCGCCAGAACTTACACAAGCCGTTTGTCTAAATTATCCAGTAATAATTATAAAATTTTGTTAATTTTTTAAATTAAACGAAAGTTTTGGAAATCTGAAATCCTATGACTTTTGAAGATCAAATTTATAAAATCTCATTAAACAAGAAAAAATCCCATACTTCCACAAGAACCTGACGATATTCTGGATGTTCGATAGCACTCATCATAGATTCAATTTTATAAGAAAAAGTCAGTTCAAACGGTGTCATATCACTCAATGTTGGTTGCTGTGAAAAAAAAAAATCAGGTAAAACAAATGAGATATAGTTAAAGTACTTCATACAGATACGTATATACAAAATTTCAAGATAAGCTGTCAAAGGTAAAACAACTTGACAGAACTGTAGAATTATAACTTTCAAGCAGTTTCAAAAAAGGAAGCCAAAAAAAATCAAGAATTGTGAAGTAACCTGAGGAAGATGTTGTCCAGCAATGACGATACCACCTTGCGTACGCTCTAAAATTTTCCAAACGCTATCATAGAAGCTAGGTGGTACACGATTTAGTGAACCATTCAAACGTCGTGATTGCAAAGGGGTTCTAAAAAGATATGTGAAAAAAAAAAAACATTTCAAACAGAAATGAAAATGGGAGTTGTGATAGCTCAGTCGTATCCTCGCATATATCTGTAAATTTCAATATATCCTTGATTTAGAGTATTTTTTCTCAAGTGTCCTGCTATAAAAAACGTTACAGCATTGGAACAATTTCTGAAAAGTAATATGAAAAATAATGTCTCCATAACACTCAACAATCACATACAGTAAGTGCCAATATTTTCTTGTCAACAATGCTGCAACAACATCTTTAACAACGATTGGTGAGAGGTCATAGATACTTGAGTTTTTACCAAGCTCTGAAAAAAAAAATAAATGAATTGAAAAAAATTGAGAAAAGTAAGTAATTTATAAAGCATGTTAGCTAAACGTATAATTGCAATTAGAAATGACATAAAAAAGCAAGCAATCTGGTCTACGGTAAGCCCAACTGTTATCTTTATAATCTCGCGCATCTGAGGCACAAGTAACTTAAACAACCATCTATATTCAAGACGTCAGGCACTAAATGGATCACTAGTAACAGCAGCAAAAGTCCTACGGAATAATATATTGATTCTTTCACAATTTCAATCAAAAAGGAATTCCAATTTTAATTGATGTAAATATCATTTTTTAAATGGTATTTACATCAGTTAAAGCAATCTCTGCCCATTCCTATATCATATCCCTTTTATTGAGAACAAAGCAACACTCATTTCTAAAACTTCACTAATATAATAATTAACTCAAGCAACAACAACAGCACCGCACAACAAAGCGGATTAAGGCAGTAGCTTATCATTAATGTACGAAATTAGTTAAACTGCAGAAAAAAGGATATATAAAAAATTTGAATATTTAAATATAAAGTGGATCAAACCTAGTCTAATAAGAGCAGATTTCTCTGAAATTATAGTTGATTAAAATCATAAACGAAACAAATAATGAATTATAATATTTTGAAAACTTACCCGCATTAATGTTTGCTTGTGTCCATGAAATTGACATATCAAGCATTCCGATAACGGAACCTTTTTTCATACTTCCTACACTTCGCATATAATCGAGCATTAATGACATCGCATGCGCCAACCACGCTAATCGAATTGTCAGCACACCATCAAATACATACGGCTTCTGTGCTATCTAAACATTACGGAAATTCAAAAAAACAAAATTCGAAGCAAATTCCAAACTTCAAAAACAAACTCAACATTTGTACAAAAGATGTCTCTACAAATTTCGAATTTACTAAAATATCAACAATTATTTTCAGAAAAAAAAGTGAAACATACTAAATCCGAGCATGCAATGATAAGCTCCTGCTGTAGGACAGCAACTTGTGGTTCATTTTCTGGATATGAACCGAATAGCGCATCAGCTATTTGATCCGGGGCTGTTGGTGCTGTTATGGTCATTTCTTGACAACTACTGACTCCAATAATAATCTGGAAAGTTTTTTCAAAGTATTAAATTTTTTAGAAGCAAAACATCTAAGATTCAGTAAATCGAGCAAATGATGCCGACACCTGGTCAACAATGGCCTTTTGGGATCATTCATTTCTTAAAATAGCATATATTTAGTATCTCTTTCTCTCATTTGGTATATTTAATAGCATTCATATGATTCCCGAAATAAAATTAAAAAGTAAAGTACTACTCCATCATCTTTTATTTAATAAGAGAACCTGTTTTCCTCTAACAAGCATGTTCGTTATACCAGGTGCTAATGAATCTGTCACTTTTCGGAGCTTTGCAGCACAGTAACGAACTACCCACCAACGACGCCTAGCGCACGCTTGCCGATAAACACGTTCCAAACGCATCTCCAAACTTTCTGAAGATTGAAATTAAAAATAGATAACCTACACTACAAACTGCATATAACAGAGAAGAAAATGCTAAGCATCTTCGCACGTTAATAGGAAGTGACAAAAGGACAATTCATAAACGTCCGTTTCACTGTTCTTGCCAATAAGCTACCTCCATCCACAACATATGCCATTCCATAGCGTTTAGAGAGAGTCACAATTGCAAATGCCACCTTCCGAGGTGCATTAATATTGTATTTTCGAACAACCTCACATAGTTCCTGATCCGATTTAGATTTATAATCATGCTGCAACGATAGTGTTAAATAAATTGTCGGCGAAAGCCGAAAAATATGATAAATTGCATAAAACATTAGATGATCGCTGGTTAACCACTGGCTTTATCTATTGTACGTCTAGATGATTAACCATCGGCTTTATCTATTTTGTGTGTCTAAATGGTTTACCATTGGCTTTATCTATTACATGTCTAGTCAATTCTTTGTTGCAATTCGTTTTATCTA